TTATTTTCAAACTATGTAACCCTCCCTCCAATACCCCTGACCCAGGGGGCATGAAATTAACCATTTTGCTAGATGCACCTTACTTCATCATAAGTATATATACTTGGATCATTAACGTAATACCCAGGAGCAAAGAAAACTATTTTCAAAGAATTAATGTATTTTCACTATATAATCAATAGACCCCCCCCCCCACCTTACACCAAATGGCAAAAACCCCTGACAAAAGGGCCATGAAATTCACAAATTTGGTTGAGGCATTATAACTACATACTAAGTTAGTTTATTTAATACCCAGGAGCAGAGAAGACGATTTTGAAAGAATTATTGCATTTTCACTATATAATCAATAGAGCCCCGCCCTAATACCAGAACCCCTGACCCTGGGGCCATAAAATTCACAATTTTGGAAGTGGCATTCTTGCTCATCATAACTATGTGCTTAGTTAGTTTATTTAATACCCAGAAGCAGAGAAGAAGATTTTCAAAGAATAATGCATTAACACTATATTATCAATAGAGCCTCGCCCTAACACCAGAAACCCTGACCCTGGGGCCATAAAATTCAAAATTTCAGAAAAGGCACTCTTGCTCATCCTAACTATGTGCTTAGTTAGTTTATTTAATACCCAGAAGCAGAGAAAATTTTCAAAGAATAAATGCATTTTCACCATATGATCAATAGAGCCCCGCCCTAATATACATGTACCAGAACCTCTGACCCTGGGGCCAAAAATTCACAATTTTGGAAGAAGCAGTCTTTCTCATCATAACTCAGTACTTAGTTAGTTTATTTAATACCTGGGAGCAGAGAAGAAGGTTTTCAAAGAATTAATGCATTTTCACTATATGATCAATAGAGCCCCGCCCTAATACCAGAACCACTGACCCTGGGGCCATAAAATTCAAAATTTTGGAAGTGACACTCTTGCTCATCATAACCATGTGCTTAGTTAGTTTATTTAATTCCCAAAAGCAGAGAAGAAGATTTTCAAAGAATTAATGCATTTTCACTATATGATCAATAGAGCCCCGCCCTAATACCAGAACCCCTGACCCTGGGGCCATAAAATTCAAAATTTTGGAAGTGGCATTCTTGCTCATCATAACTATGTGCTTAGTTAGTTTATTTAATTCCCAGAAGCAGAGAAGAATATTTTCAAATAATAAATGCATATTCACTATATGATCAATAGAGCCCCGCCCTAACACCAGATCCCCTGACCCTGGGGCCATAAAATTCAAAATTTTGGAAGTGGCACTCTTGCTCATCATAACTATGTACTTAGTTAGTTTACTTAATACCCAAGAGCAGAGAAGAAGATTTTCAAAGAAATAATGCATTTTCACTCTCTACTCAATAGAGCCAAGCCCTAGCACAAGAACCCCTGACCCTGGGGCCATAAATTTCACAATTTTTGTAGAGGATTCAATGCTCATTACATTCATGCCAACAGTTTACCTGCTTGATGTCCAGGAGTAAAGAAGAAGATTTTTAAAGATTGCATTAATTTCGGTGGTTTTGGCCCCTCAGGCCCCAGGGGGGCGGGGACCATAACATTCACAATTTTTGTTTCCCTTTACCCATATATGCTGAATACCAAATTTGGTTGAAATTGGTTCAGTGGTTTCAGAGAAGAAGCTGAAAATGTTCAAATGTTAACATACGACACACGACGGACGAAGACGGACTAAAACGGATAGCAATAGGTCACCTGAGTTACTCAGTTGACCTAAAAATAGGTCACTGTGACCTACTTTTTGTTGGACATTCTCTAATGACTTAAGATACATCAATTGACAAAGTTTGATGATTCTACGCCAATAAGTACCTGAGATACTTGAATATAGTCATAAAATTTCAAAAGTAGATCACTGTGACCTATTTTTTGGTCGAAATTCTCTGAAGATCCAAGATGCATCAGCTGACAAAGTTTGATGATTCTAGGCCAATAAGTACCTGAGAGAAACAAAGATATTTAAATATAGCCATAAAATGTCAAAAGAAGGTCACTTTGATCTACTTTTTGGTAAACATTCTCCAAAAATTCAAGATCCCTCAACTGACAAAGTTTAATGATTCGAAGCCAATAATACTTATATTTAACATTTGTAAAATGTCAAAAGTAGGTCACCATGACCTACTTTTAGTGGACATTCTATGAAGACCCCGGATGTATCAACAGACAAAGTTTGATGATCATAGGTCTGAAAGTATTCAAAATATGCCATTTTACCAATTTGAAAACATATGCCTTCTTAGATTTAGAAAGTAGGTCATTGTGTTAAATACACAATACATAATTTTAGATAAAAATGTTTTAAGGGCCCAAGATGCTTCAACTTACAAAATCTGATGATTTTAAATCTTTCAGTATCTCAAATAATTGCTGTAAAAATTTTAGAAGACATAAGCCATAAAATTAAAAAAAAATAGGTCAAGGTGACCTACATTTAATTTGTCATTGTTTGAGGACTCAAAATGCACCAACAGACAAAGTTTGATGATCATGGGCATTAAAGTGTCCAAAATATGCCTCCAAATCAATTTGAAATCAAAATTCAAAAAGTAAGTCACCATGACCTACTTTTGAGTCAACATGATGTGAAATCCTAAGATGCATCAACTTACAAGATTTGATGATCCTAGTCTTTATAGTAAGCTAAATATAAATGTTTTTATAAAGTTTAATTTTTGGTCAACTTTCAACTTATAAATGACCTTGAGACCATGCCCTTTGACCCAGGGTGATGCCTTGGAAAATTTTTTTTTATTTTCAACATATCCTCATTATTGTATGTAAGTTTGGTGATAATCTGTCTGGTGGTTCTTGAAAAGATTTTTTCTGCAACCAGTACTTTTGGTTTTATTTTCCTGATTATCTCCCCTTGCTTAAGGGTCCTAACCCTAGTTTTAGTAAAAATGGTAGCCCTTGGGCCAAGAATACCCAGTGACAAATTTGACAATGATTGGGCAATGGGTTGTGAACCACTGACCCTGGGGCCACATATTTCAAAATTTTGGAAATTTTATCATAAATTTTATTACATCATAAATGGTTGATCAATACCAAAGAGCAGATTTCGAAGCATTAATTTATTTTCAAACTATGTAACCCTCCCTCCAATACCCCTGACCCAGGGGGCATGAAATTAACCATTTTGCTAGATGCACCTTACTTCATCATAAGTATATATACTTGGATCATTAACGTAATACCCAGGAGCAAAGAAAACTATTTTCAAAGAATTAATGTATTTTCACTATATAATCAATAGACCCCCCCCCCCCCCACCTTACACCAAATGGCAAAAACCCCTGACAAAAGGGCCATGAAATTCACAAATTTGGTTGAGGCATTATAACTACATACTAAGTTAGTTTATTTAATACCCAGGAGCAGAGAAGACGATTTTGAAAGAATTAATGCATTTTCACTATATAATCAATAGAGCCCCACCCTAACACCAGAATCCCTGACCCTGGGGCCATAAAATTCACATTTTTGGAAGAGGCACTCTTGCTCATCATAACTATGCACTAAGTTAGTTTATTTAATTCCCAGGAGCAAAGAAGAAGATTTTCAAAGATTTAATGCATTTTTACTATAATCAATAGAGCCCCGCCCTGACACCAGAACCCCTAACCCTGGGGCCATAAAATTCACAATTTTGGAAGAGGCACTCTTGCTTATCACAACTATGTACTTAGTTCATTCAATACTCAGGAGCAGAGAAGATTTTCAAAGATTTAATGCATTTTCACTATGTAATCAATAGAGCCCCACCCTAGCACTAGAACCCCTGGCCCTTGAATTTCCCAATTTAGGTAGAGGACTCAATGCTCATTACATTCATACCAACAGTTTGCCTGCTTGATGTCCAGAAGTAAAGAAGATTTTTAAAGATTTCATTAATTTGAGTGGTTTTGGCCCCACCCCTCAGGCCCCAGGGGGGCGGGGACCATCAAATTTTCAATTTTTGTTTCCCTTTACCCATAGATGCTTTATACCAAATTTGGTTGAAATTGGTTCAGTGGTTTCAGAGAAGCTGAAAATGTTCAAATGTTAACACATGATGGACAAAAATGGATAGCAATAGTTCACCTGAGTCACTCAGGAGACCTAAAAAGTAGGTCAGGGTGACCTACTTCTTGAATTTGCAGAAAGTACTGCCATGCAAAAACAGTGCAGAGAAAACACTGCACATTCTAAATAGCACAGATCCACCTTTTACACTTCAAAACAAACTATTTCGAAAGAAGTTCAAATGTTAAATTAAAAGGTCACCTTGTCATTAATTATGGTCTTTTCCAAAATCAAATGTCCCATGCAAAATATCAACATTTGAAACAGTTCTCTAGATATTTGGTGTGACAGACAGATGGACAAACAGATTCCATGTAAGTGATCTTTAAAGCGATATAAATAATATGAGCTGCATTTTTGAAAATTTTATTCTGTTGTTAAAATGTGCTGTTTTGATAAATTTGTATGTAATTTAAAACTTTTATGATGAGTTAGACTAAAAGAAAGTATTAAATTGTTTCAGAGAAATTATTTCTGTGCAATGGAATGTAAGTATTATATAATAAATCAATATTGTATAGGACGACAATAATGTAATTTTGCTTCAATCTAAGCACATCAATAGTTCGTCCAGTGCATATGTATGAATGGCAGAAGTTTCTAAATGTTCTTATTTTCTATTACTAAAATAGTAAATTACATTTTTTCAACAAAATTTCCGACATCAAAATTGCAGCTCATATTGCTTTGTGTGCTCTGTAGGTGACACAAAAACTACCTGAATTTTGACTTGAAAGTAAACTAAAGGAACAAAATTCTAGACAGGTATGACTCTAAAATCTTGACACTCCTAAACTAAATTCCACTTTCATGGATCCTTTTTCTGTCCTGGTACATTGACAGAAAAAATAAAGGTTTTGAGTACACAAAAACTCTTGACATATTCTTTTTATTTTTTATTCACTTTTCCGTACTAATCTAACTACACAACAAAAGGAAGTGAAAAAAATTGAACAATTAAAAAAGAAAAAAGTTCGCTGAATTTTTAAAAAGAGAGCATTAAACCTTATACATGTACAGGTAAGCATCAACATCTTCAACAGAAAAATGTTTAAAAAACGAAAAGACAACTGGGACTGTTAACTATTATATATTTTACACAAGAAAATTACAAATTCCTCATGGCAGCCTTACTGTCTTAAAATTACTAAATGGAAACATTGAAAGTTCTCATCAGATAAAAACAAGACTAAAATGCTGTCAAGCAAATTAAACAAGAGGCCCATGGGCCACATTGCTCACATGAGAAGCTTTGACCATTCTGTTCTTTACCAGATTTCACCCTTGTTATACATAATGCATCCCCACCCTACCCCACTGATCATAATTTAGACATTTTGAAATCTACACTACCCCATGATCCTTCCATGGGCACATATGTTTCAGCTTTTTTGGCCCAGTGGTTCCTGAGAAGAAGATTTTCAAAGATTTTTCCTATATATTTCTATGTTCAACTTTGATTCCCTATAATGGCCCCGCCCTTCCCCCGGGGGTCATGATTCCTACATTTTAGAATTTACACTACCCCAGAATGCTTCCACATAAGCTTCACTTTTTCTGGCCCAGTGGTTCTTGAGAAGAAAATTTTCAAAGATTTTTCCTATATATTTCTAGATAAAACTTTGATTCCCCATTCCCCCGGGTGTCATTATTTGAACAATTTAGAATCTACATTATACCAGGATGCTTCCACATAAGTTTCAGTTTTTCTGGCCCAGTGGTTCTTGAGAAGAAGATTTTCAAAGATTTTTCCTATATATTTCTATGTAAAAATTTGATACCCCATTGTGGCCCCGCCCTTCCCCTGGGGGTCATGATTTGAGCAATTTAGAATCTACACTACCCCAGGATGCTTCCACATAAGTTTCAGCTTTTCTGGCCCAGTGGTTCTTGAGAAGAAGATTTTCAAAGATTTTTCCTATATATTTCTATATAAAACTTTGATTCCCCATTGTGGCCCCACCCTTCCCCCGGGGGTCATTATTTGAACAATTTAGAATCTACATTATACCAGGATGCTTCCACATAAGTTTCAGCTTTTCTGGCCCAGTGGTTCTTGAGAAGAAGATTTTCAAAGATTTTTCCTATATATTTCTATATAAAACTTTGATTCCCCATTGTGGCCCCGCCCTTCCCCCGGGGGTCATGATTTGAACAATTTAGAATCTACACTATACCAGGATGCTTCCATATAAGTTTCAGCTTTTCTGGCCCAGTGGTTCTTGAGAAGAAGATTTTCAAAGATTTTTCCTATATATTTCTATATAAAACTTTGATTCCGCATTGTGGCCCCGCCCTTCCCCTGGGGGTCTTGATTTGAACAATTTAGAATCTACACTACCCCAGGATGCTTCCAAATAAGTTTCAGCTTTACTGGCCCAGTGGTTCTTGAGAAGAAGATTTTTTAATGACCCCACCCTATTTTTGTCTTTTCTTGATTATCTCCCCTTGCGAGGGGATATGTCCCTTCATTTTAACAATTTAAATTTCCCTTTACCCAAGGATGCTTTGTACCAAGTTTGGTCAAAATTGGCCCAGTGGTTCTTGAGAAGAAGTCGAAAATGTGAAAAGTTTACAGACGGACGGACAGACGGACAGCTAGACAGACGGATGGACGGACGGACAGACGGACGGACGACGGACAAAACTTGATCAGAAAAGCTCACTTGAGCCTTCGGCTCAGGTGAGCTAAAAAGAATGGAAAATGTACTTTTCTTCTTTTTCAAAAACTGAAAACATTTTAATTACCAAATGAATAATTTCAATGCATTTTATTAATGTGAAAATTGACTAGGATATTAAATGTTTAAAGGTATAAAATGTAATTGTGGTCAAACTTATTTCTACACTCTCTTTTGGTACTTGCATGTATTTTGCTTTGTATTAATGATAATTCCCTAAAAATGACAAACATAAAATAACCACAGTAGGAATACAAATTACATGTACATATTATCATGCTTCTCCTTAGAATCAGTTCAATCTATATACATGTATTTCCATGAAAGGAATGCAAAATTGTCCATCTTATAGCTTTCTTTAAACAACAAATGATGTGACATTAGTTTTTTTTAAACAATGTTTAAATCATTTTTATTTTTTACACAACTTACATGTACCACCAACAATCTGAAAATAAATGCTACTTTGTTTCTTTTAAAATCTATGCATTAAAGAAACATTGATACTATTTTACAGTACAATATTCTAGATAAATTTTTCCATGTTTATTTTTAATGAGTATTTAAAAGTAGACCAAAAATAGTTTGTATAATTACTTACATGTACTTGTAACAAAATATGCTCATCTGCATTAATCAAAATCAAAACTACAAACAAATATTCTTTATCTTACTATAGTTTCTCCTATTTCAAAGGTTATAAAACAAACTGAACAAATTCTGAAAACCACTAAGATAATAGCAATTTTAGAACTACTTATAAACATTTATAAATGCTGTACAACTTTTTACATAAATCAGAAAATGATTGACATTAAACTTATGTGAGAGATTTGAGTTTTCTCAAAATATTGGCACTGACTGTAATGTGTAACAACATGAAGGCAATAGATTCACCACAGCCAAACATCATAATCTTCATCTTCCAGGTAGTCTGGTGCATCATCACTCCATAGTCCAGAGGCGTAATCATCTTCATAGGTGTATCCACTGCCATCATCAAAGTCATCTTCATCTTCCTCGTCTTCATCATCTATTGGATAGTGGATGTCATAGGTGGCCCTGCTGCGACATGAGAAGAATTTGCAGTGGGGACAATTGAAGTGGCATTTGGTGAGGTTGCTAGGTAACTGGATCAGACAGGTGGCACTCTGTCGCAGAGGTTGGGGAAGTTCCTGCAAATTCTTCCATTTCTTCTCGGCATAATTGAAACAGAATGTTGTGGATATGGTCTCTGGGGCCTTGAAGCCTTTACCACCAATGACATAAAAGTTGCTACCATCAGAAATTGTGCTGTATTCTATGCATTCAAAGGGGTTCGTTGGGAAAGGCAAGAACTCCTCTTTGATATGCTTCCATTTCCGTGCTGTCATTGAGTATTTTGTGTATGAACACTTCCCCATTCTGGTCACAACAAGCTCGTCTCCAACAGGAATCAGTAAATTGTCCCAATAAGCACCTTTGGATTGATCATACTTTCTATTTACAGCAGTGTCATATACATAAAATTTGGCACTCTTTCCTCTTCTTTTGGGATTGGCTCCCACTTTGTTGGCCAACACACAAATCTTCCTATCCTGCATAACACATGCCGCCAAATGGGAGTTTTCATTTCGTTGGAACAGAGTCTGCTTGACTTCACATTTTGAGTCATCTTCTTTCACTTCCATAACAAAGGTGCTCCACTGGTGCACCAGTTGTGGACCGAACTGGATGACATGACTGGAAATTATGGCATACAATTTTCCTGCACATGCTAGAATGGTGTGAAGCGTGTTATTCCCATAGTTTTCTGGAACTTCTAACAGAAAACTTGTCCACTTGTTTTCCGCCAAATCAAACTTGTAAACAGAGACTTTGGTGGAAAATGTTTGGTGTCCATTATCAAAAACATACAAGCACTTACTCTTTGAACAGTATGTTATTGTGGCTTGTTTCATCTGGTAAGGGAGAGGTGCTAATTCAATCCACCTGTCCTCTGCCAAAATGTATCCTAGCAGTGTATTAACAGCCATGGACTCCCTGAACGGAAACAGATGGAAGATGTTCTCAAACATGATCTGACCGCAGCCTCCTGCCACCAGAATTGCCTCCCTTACTCCATCATCTTCTTTGATGAGTCCTGTTATGTACTTCATTTTAGTGTTCAAGACATGAACCTGACATTTTTCATTCTTTGCTACCAGAGGGTAAGTTTCAATCTTCTTCTCTAGAACAGTCTTTGGAATCTTCTTCAAGTCAAGAGAACAAAACAAACCAGAGAAGAACTCCTCTCTATTCTCTTGATCAAATTCCACCCACTTCAGAATGAACTCAAAGAATTGCATTTGTTCTACGTAAGACAAAGTCTTATCAGTAAGCAGTGACATCACTGATTCTGAGGTCAAGGTCAAGGCATCCTCCTGTTGCATTATCTCTGGCAAATGTCCTCTTAAGAATTCAAATACTTTGTTGTAATATTCTAAGTTATACAGGCTGCACAGTAAGCACATTTGGACGCAGTTCTCAGCAGTCATACTAACACTCTCTAAATAACTTTGACAGCATGCTTTCAAGTCTGCAATCTGGAAATAGTCGGCCACTTCCAGAATGTCCTTGACTGTCTCATAAGATATCTCAGCTGTCCCCATGTAAAGGAAAGAAATCGCCGTCCTTACTGCAGGGACTTTGCCAATCTGAAGGTGAATCTTGCCTGAAAGGAATTATGAAATTCTTAATTTTTTTAATATAAAACTTAAGTGTTTCCAAACATTTCAATTGACTACTAAATCTTCTTCCCCTTAATTTTTAGAGAAAACCAGATTAACTTTAATTTTCTTCGAAAATCCATGTTCGCCATTTTGGCCCCGCCCTACCCCTGGGGGTCATGATTTGAACAAATTTGAATCTACACTACTTGAGCATGCTTCCATATAAATATGATGAATTATGGCTTTGACATTCTTGGGAAGAAGATTTTTAAAGAATTTTCCTATATATTTCTATGTAAAACTTTGGTCGGCCATTTTGGCCCCGCCCTACCCCGGGGGGTCATGATTTAAACAAACTTGAATCTACACTACCTGACCATGCTCCCATATAAATATGATGAATTATGGCTTTGTCATTCTTGAGAAGAAGATTTTTAAAGAATTTTCCTATATATTTCTATGTAAAACTTTGGTCGGCCATTTTGGCCCCGCCCTATCCCGGGGGGTCATGATCTGAACAAACTTGAATCTACACTACCTGAGCATGCTTCCATATATATATGATGAATTATGGCTTTGTCATTCTTGAGAAGAAGATTTTTAAAGAATTTTCCTATATATTTCTATGTAAAACTTTGGTCGGCCATTTTGGCCCCGCCCTACCCCGGGGGGTCATGATTTGAACAAACTTGAATCTACACTACCTGAGCATGCTCCCATATAAATATGATGAATTATGGCTTTGTCATTCTTTAGAAGAAGATTTTTAAAGAATTTTCCTATATATTTCTATGTAAAAATTTGGTCGGCCATTTTGGCCCTCCACCCTACCCCGGGGGGTCATGATTTAAACAAACTTGAATCTACACTACCTGAGCATGCTCCCATATAAATATGATGAATTATGGCTTTGTCATTCTTGAGAAGAAGATTCTTAAAGAATTTTCCTATATATTTCAATGTAAAAATTTGGTCGGCCATTTTGGCCCCGCCCTATCCCCGGGGGTCATGATTTGAACAAACTTGAATCTACACTACCTGAGGATGTTTCCCCATAAGTTACATCTTTCCTGGCACAGTGGTTCTTGAGAAGAAGATTTTTAAAATATGCCACTAAATTTTCATTAATTCCCAATTATCTCCCCTTGAATGAGGGCGTGGCCCTTCATTTGAACAAACTTGAATCCCCTTCACCCAAGGATACTTTGTGGCAAGTTTGGTTGAAATTGGCCCAGCGGTTCTTGAGAAGAAGTCGAAAATGTGAAAAGTTCACAGACAGACAGACAGACGGACGCCGGACAAAATGTGATCAGAAAAGCTCACTTGAGCCTTCGGCTCAGGTGAGCTAACAAATATTTTTTTAATAAAATAATATTTATTGAGAAAAAAATATATGAAAAATTTGCTTATTTTGAAAAAATGCACCTGCTTAATTCTGTACTTTTAGTGAAATCTATCATTGATCAACGTAAAGAATTTTTCTTGATAAATATTTTTATTCAGTATTTGTTATCAAGTGGTACTTTCTATCTGTTAATCAATGAAATACATAAATTTATAAACTGTAAAAAAAGTCAACTTTATTTAAACCACATAGTTTTGGGGCTATTGTAACCAGAAGTCTCTGTTGAGACTGTAGCTCTACTGGTTTGTACTTATCAAAAACCATTGCACTATTTTATGTATCTTTGTGTAGTCTACTTGTGTGCCAACTTATTTTGAAATCAACTAAAACTGTAGAAGGAGTAGCGTTTTAAAGGAATTTCACGGAAAATTCTATTTTTAGTAACCATGGCAACACCGTTCACCGAAATCAAAAACCGATGCACTATTCCATGTATCTTAGTGTAGTCTACATGTGTGCCAAGTTATATTGTAATCAGACCAAAACTGTAGAAGGAGTAGCGTTTTAAAGGAATTTCCCAGAAAATTCTATTTTTAGTAACCATGGCAACACCGTTCATCGAAATCAAAAACCGATGCACTATTCTATGTATCTTAGTGTAGTCTACTTGTGTGCCAAGTTAAATTGAAATCAGACCAAAACTGTAGAATGAGTAGTGTTTTAAAGGAATTTCTCTGAAAATTCTATTTTTAGTAACCATGGCAACACCGTTCATCGAAATCAAAAACCGATGCACTATTCTATGTATCTTAGTGTAGTCTACTTGTGTGCCAAGTTATATGAAATCAGACCAAAACTGTAGAAGCAGTAGCGTTTTAAAGGAATTTCTCAGAAAATTCTATTTTTAGTAACCATGGCAACACCGTTCATCGAAATCAAAAACCGATGCACTATTCTATGTATCTTAGTGTAGTCTACATGTGTGCCAAGTTATATTGTAATCAGACCAAAACTGTAGAAGGAGTAGCGTTTTAAAGGAATTTCCCAGAAAATTCTATTTTTAGTAACCATGGCAACACCGTTCATCGAAATCAAAAACCGATGCACTATTCCATGTATCTTAGTGTAGTCTACTTGTGTGCCAAGTTATATTGAAATCAGACCAAAACTGTAGAAGGAGTAGCGTTTTAAAGGAATTTCCCAGAAAATTCTATTTTTAGTAACCATGGCAACACCGTTCATCGAAATCAAAAACCGATGCACTATTCTATGTATCTTAGTGTAGTCTACTTGTGTGCCAAGTTATATTGAAATCAGACCAAAACTGTAGAAGGAGTAGCGTTTTTAAGGAATTTCACAGAAAATTCTATTTTTAGTCACCATGGCAACACCGTTCATCGAAATTAAAAACCGATGCACTATTCTATGTATCTTAGTGTAGTCTACTTGTGTGCCAAGTAATATTGAAATCAGACTAAAATTGTAGGAGGAGTAGCGTTTTGAAAAATTGTTTACAGATAGACGGACAGACAGACAGCTAGACAGACGGACGGACGGACGCCGGACGCATTACTATCGCATAAGCTCTTCTGGTCTCTGACCAGTAGAGCTAAAAATAAATTTTTGGACAGGTTGACCTTTGATGAAACCTTTAAAATTTTTCAATATTATTCTAATTGTTAAAGTCTGCACATTTCTTTAGTGCATCTAAACAACAACCATGACCGCTTTACTATGATTACGATCGAATTTTGATCGGGTGTGGCATACAGAATATTGTGAATTAAAGGAAATGGTGAAGCACAGTAATCACTCCAGCTTTTAAGATCAAATATTTTAACTGGTTATAAATGTTGAAATTTTATCTAGAATCCAATATTTTTAAATATTGTCTAGTATTCGTGGGTATGTTTTATGTTACTGCCAATTGGGTTGTTTGTGTTGCATTGTAATCCTTCCGGAATGTTATTCATGTCATTCCACACATCCGTTCTTTTTATAAATTCATCTGCAACAACTATCGTGTTTTTCTTGTGATTAAATAAACATAGTATCTTTGTTTTGTAGCAAAATTAATTATATTTACAATTTATGCATTTCTAATTTCACGATTTCATTCATTGTGAACATTTTCAAAGAAATTGATGTATTGCTATTGTTATTTTCTTTTGCGGATGGATCAACTGACACATTTGGTCGCGTAAATCTGTACGATACCTAGATGACATTCAAGCTATTGCTCGATGCCATAAAAACATAATTATGATAATACCAAAATACACCAATGTCCATTCTGAAACAAATACCTGAGGTTTTTTCTTTCAAGCCACTGTCATAGAGAGATTGGAAGTAGGGACACAGCACTAACACATTCCAATGGGCACGGATTTCCTAAACAGAAAACATATCAAAAGTGATGCATCCAACATCAGAACATAATCAGAATATCTGTGTTGCTCTATTGTAATCACTAATGTTATAGTCAATAATATCATTGCATTACATTCTTTTTGTATGATTTCAAATTCGAATTTCTCACTTAAAATTATCTTATAAGTGGAAATTTAAACAAGACGCAAATTTAGCGATTTGTCCTTAAAATATGGTAATCTATAGTTAGTGAGGAGTAATTTTAGCGATTTTAAAATGCTTACTAAAAGAGCTATAACAAATTAAACACAGTTTATTTTTAGCGATATTTAATATTAGCGATCTCAGAACCCTTGCTAATAAATTAATAATGCCAAAATTAAATCCTCGCTAAAAATTCTGCGTATACGGTATTTGAAGAATGTCGTACTTGTCTCTTCAGTAACACTTAATTTAAATCAAAATGTTACGCAGACTTGCTCTTTATTATTACATGAATAGATATATTATTAATGAAAACAATTTCTTCTCCTTGCACAGGCATAAAAATATCAAATATAAGATACTTTTATAAAACCAACATGGCCTCACCAATTCCTGAATTTGTGATGTGTTGGTTACCATCTCATAATTTTGGTACAGAGCATATTGTTCAGTCTAATCATGTTAACAATATGCTTCCAGGTTGCTTAGAAATGCAGGTGAATGAATAGTTATTTTTTTTACTTTCGCTGTTATGCCCCCTTTCTTAAGACATTTCTCATTGACAGATATTTTATGACATCGCGTGGCTGCATTCCAGTTTATAGTAGCTAGCCTAGCTGCTTAGCTAAAGATTTAGGTCTCAATCAATGTAGTGTATGACTGAATACTGTTATGTTTTGGCTAGCATGTTTAAGATTGTGTCTCTAGCCTCTATATATTAAGCTATATCTACATACTAACATTAGATGACAGTCTGTTTTATGTTAGAGTTGAAGGAGATTCATCAGTTTCAGCTTCTTACTTTTTTTTTTTGCTACATTATAATTATTATGTAACAAGTACATAATTATTAACTAAGCAATAAACAGATATTTACCATTACGCAATATTTATCATGTTTATAAACTGATATTTACCACTTGCTCAACAACAAGAACAACATCACACAATTCTGAGTTTGATAACATCTGATCATGTAGGTGATTCTGAAGAGACAGTGCATGTGTGGTACGACTCCCCATGTTACGGGGAAAAGGGGTATCCATGACTTCTGGTGTTCCTCTGGAAACTGAAACAAAATATAAAGTAGTATAAAGGCCGTGTTCTTGTCATAATAATGTAGAATTTTCCCAACTTTTAACTAAAATTTTATACAGGAATTTTGATATGTGTTTGGGGACATATGCAAATTTCCTTACATCTTGTGAAGGACCAAACTTTTGTAGGTATTAATGAAAAAATTGCAGGAAAATTAATTTACACTTTGTTTACTTAATTACTCCTTCTCTGTTTAAGCTCTTGATCACCAACAAACATCAACCTAGAACAATCTTATTTCGATAAGTGCCAATTCAGTCAAACTTAAGTTTTTGGTAATCAAGGTTTTAAACAGCTCATTATGCAAATTAAAAAAAAATGATTATGTTTCAGAATTTTGTTAATCTTCCTGCTGTGTAAAGAGCCTGGAACATGAAGAAGGATGACCACTTTGAATTATGATGTATTACACAAGAGGTAGAAAATGTGTGAAACCAGTTTGTTAAAAAGAACTTTTTCCTCAATAAATGTGGATATAAAAAGCTTCTGAAGCTGAAGTCTTATCAAACAGCAAATGCCTATGCTGAAAATAGTGTAATGCAAATGATATTTGATCTCTTGTTATCTTAGAATTGTTACAAATGTATTATGTTCCATGCACAAATCGAAAATAAAACAAATCAAACCTATTTCATTGAAAAAATATGGAATTTTCACAAAACTGTGGCCACATTTCGTGGAGTGCGGGAAACACGAATATAAAAAATTTCGTTCCCGATAGATAAGTCGTTCAAAAGAGTGTTTGCAGAAGTACATGTATTTGAATATGATGACAATGTTTTAGAGGAATAACCTAATTAATTATATAACGGATCGATTGTTGCTGTCTTAAATCATGACTATTGATAAGAACGTTTAAAAATATCTCTACATTAATGAATATAATAATGTATGAGCTATTCATTTTATACAACATGGCGGAAAGTGAGAGGTTGAGCCCCTTTGTATATTGGGGTCAGAAAACAGACCATGTCTCGTTGAAAATTGATCTGAAGGATGTTGTTGTAAGGCGTAAAAATTCTTTTAAACATAAACAAATATTGTATATTTAACAGAGAAGTTTTAATCCCGATGCTAGTCGCTGGTAAATCAGCTGTTCAGAAAATTCATTTTTATGTTTTAAAAATCTTTTTTTAGCTCACCTGATCCGAAGGCACAAGTGGAATCCAGATAGGGCCACGCAGTTCCCTATTGCATCATCGCACTATTGAGGTTTGGGTTGATAATGCAATGACACAATAATGCGATGTCAATGGTGTAATAACGATGAAGCGATGTTGCAATTATGCGATGACAATGGTGCAATAGCACTATGGAGCAATGGTGTAATGATGCGATGGTACGATGACGATAAAGTGATATTCACTTTTACTCTATTGCACCATCGTCATCGCATTATCGTGCCATCGCACCATAGCTCCATCATCGTCGCTTCATCGTTATCACGCCATTGTATTGTTGCACCATCGACCTATTAGTGGACGCTCAATGTGGCGATAGTGAACTGCATCGCCCTATCCAGATTCTATACAAGTTAGCTTTTCTGATCACATTTTGTCCGTCCTTCTGTAAACTTTTAACATTTTACAACTTTTTAAGAACCACTGTGCCACTGTTAAGGATACACCAAAGGCTTTTTTCAAGATTTTTGTCAATTTTGAGATTTTTGGCTAAGAAAACAATGCTAATCAATGCTTTATAATGCATGAAAAATTCTGGCTGATTATTAAATGGTTTTCTAATTATTTAACAATAATCAAACATAAACACTAACACATGTGAATGTGCCGTTATTGAAGCTTCTGATTTGGTCTGTAACTGCCTGCTTCTGAAAGGAGCAATAAATCACTGTGACCACTTGGGGAATTCTTCACTAGCCACACAGAGGTTATCAGTAATTAAACTACAGGGACTCTAGATTTAGGGAAGGAGATCTAACAGGTCACTAATGACCATGAAGTAGGAGGTGGAGCTTAGCTCTTGCCATTTTGCCGGGAAATCTTTCTGATTCAGAATTGAACCTATTTCACTTCATTTAAAGCACCTAAATAAAGAAAAGAACCTCCCATTCTTGTGAATATGCATAGGAAATAAGGATAAGTGACAGGTATCCAAAGCTGAATCTCCAAGATGTCATATATTTCTAGCTTTGGCAGACTTTGTTGTGTAATGGGTTTTTGCCCTCTACTGTAAAGTAAGATCAGACAGTTGGTGGTTTTATTTCAAAGGATTCAGCTCCCTTATTTATTGACCAATTTCTCTGAAAACTGGCCAGAATGCGTCTCAAATGTGTGTTCACAAAACCGTATCTCAGATTTTTGATATCTTGCTCAGTTCTCGAATTATTGGGGGAAATGTAGAATTGGGCTAATAAATTGGTAACATTGAAAGACAAATGGATGTAACTTTTGAATAAAAAGATTTATCAAAAATCTGAGATACGGTTTTAAAGTTCAATCTTTAATCTACATTGAGGCAAAATTTTGACTTTGAGAGGTGGAATACAAAAAAGTTGATTTATAAAATATAAATGCACTAATATTTACATTAAGATATTAATAATTCTTTAATAAGATAAAAATGAAAATTTGAATTAAGATCATTAAATAGTAAATTTAACAAGCTTTCAAATGATATATACTTTTATTATGTTATCTTTGTTAATAAAAGAATTACAAGCAAATTAAATTTTGCCCTTTGGAAACCTTTGGTGTATCCTTAACCAAACTTTGCAAAAAGCATCTTTGAGTAAAGGGGAGTTTAAAATGTAAAAATGAAGGGCCAAGTCCCCTCACAAAGGAAGATAATTAAGAAAAGACAATTATGGGGGGGGGGTGTCATTATAAAATCTTCTCAAGAACCACTGGGCCAGAACAGCTGAAACTAACATGGAAGCATCCTGGGGTAGTGAAGATTCTAAATTGTACAAATCATGACCCCTGGGTTTAGGCGGGGCCACAATAGGGAATCAAAGTTTTACATAGAAATATGTAGGAAAAAAATTTAAAAATCTTCTCAAGAACCACTGGGCCAGAACAGCTGAAAATCATGTGGAAGCATCCTTGGGTAGTGTAGATTCAAAATTACACAAATGATAGCCCCCACGGGTAGGGCGAGGCCACAAGAAATCAAAGTTTTACAATGAAATATTTGGGTTATGTTTAGAATTCTTTTTCTCAATAACTGCTGGGACAGAAAAGGTCAAACTTATGTGAAAGCATCCTGGGATAGTGTAGATTTTAAATTGCTAAAACCATGACCCAGGAGGTAGGGCGGGGCCATAATTTGGAATCCAAGTTTCACATCGAACTATATAGGAAAAAGTTTTTAAAAATCTTCTTCTCAATAACTACTGGACCAGAAAAGCTGAAACTTATGTGAAAACATCCTCGGGTAGTTCAGATTCTAAATTGTCAAACCTTGACCCCTGGTAATAGGGCGGGGCAACAATAGCGAACCCAAGTTTTAGATTGAAATATATAGGAAAAATCTTTAAAAATCTTCTTTTCAGGAAGTGCCAGGAACTACAGGACCATAACAGCTGAAACTTATGTGAAAACATCCTGGGTAGTGTAGATTCTAAATTGTTCAAATTATGATCCATGGGGTAGGGTTGGGTCACAATAGGTATTACAAGGGGGAAAATCTGGTAAAGAACAACATGCCCATGGGCCTCTTGTTAAGACAATCATTCTAAAAAAATCAGATGTATGTTCAGAATGTTTCTCTTGTCACTGGCGTAAAAGTTTTTAAAATGAAAAAAATTAATGCACAGGATCCCAAAGTCGATTTGACTGAAGATGGCTTAAAGTTTGAAGCTGATGGGATTGGTGTCAGGGGCAACAACTTTTATCAGCTGGATATAGAATTTTACCATCCTGTGGATCCAGACGTAAGGAACTGTTTTAATAGTTGTGATATCAAATCATATTATATACCTATTGTCATGGATAACATCAACAGCCACATTTAAAAATACTGAGTTAACCTGCAGTCCACTATTTGATTGTGAAAGGATAGGGTCATAAGACACACTTGGTCTCTAGAGTTGCTGAAAAATGATTTAAAAAAAAGGATTTCTGGGAAATGCACAAAATAAAGTCAGGTTTAGCACCATTGTGCTAACAATAGTTATAAAATAAATTTCTTTCAGATGTTATAATGAATATTTGAAGCTTAAAATCCATTATTTCTTTTGAATCTGCAGAAAAGTAGATACAGAGTGTTGAATAGGTGCATTGATTTTTACATCCAAAAGAAGGGGAGTGGGGAAGTGTGGCCACGTCTTACATACCAAAAACTCAAGTACCCCTGGCTTAAAATTGATTTTGACAAAGTTGCCTATGAAGATGAGTCAGAGTCAGAGGAGGAAGACAAGGTATTTTTTCTCCATGTTTTCAAGTTGAATCAGTTTAATATTTAAAAATGTTACTGTAAGATATACTGATAGAGGATTTTCTTGGCGGGTGTAAAATTTGGTGCTTTGCCTGCTCAAAGATATGCCAATAATTTTGGCGTAACTTATTTTAGTGGACACAGAGTTTCAGCTCTTTGCAGATTAACACTAAGAAGAGTATTGACTATTTAGTGATTAAAATTTTAGCGGACTACCATCAAAACACCAGAATAAGCCAAAATTAGCACCCTGCCAAAATAACCCACTCTACGGTACTGTTTCAGTTAATTTTGAAAGACAATATTTAAATCTGTTCAGAAAAAAAGATCTGAGTAATTAGGAAGATGACCATTGATTAAGTCTTATAAATTGATAGACTGAGTACAAGCTTAAAATAAAGATTCTGTTCCATAAACTTTTGTTTGTATATGTTTTTCAGGCAAAAAATATGTCTGAGGAAGATATTTTAAAACAGATTGAGAAAGAACTGGATTTAGATGCCGCTAAAAGCCCTGGTAAAAGTTTGATTACTTTATTCACTATTGATATGTAGGATTTAGTTAATTAGTATTCTTGCAATTGGATCATTCTGATGGTTTGATCTTTTTAATGTTCTCCAGTGGTTGGGTGCTGTTTGAATATGACGTATGCTAAGTTTTCGGAATGTTTGCATTGTTGTCAGGATTTTTACTGGGGTATGCTAAAAAGCAAATGCCTTCCCTTCTCTCCATCAGTTATGTATATTTTGTAGATGTACCTGATCTGAAGACAGCATACCTGTTTTTCTACAATCTTTTCCAATTTGTTGGTTTCACCTTCATAAGTAGTGTTCTTATTGTAAATTTCTGCAGAGATAAACAAAGTAAGTACATTGTAGCTTCAGCTAAATATCTACTTTTCAAAGCTTTGAGTTTATTCTGGTGACCTATTGCTATCTGTTTTCATACCACCAAAATAAATGCAATCTTTTAAAAAATCGACTTTACTCCTAGACATCACGCAGTTGAACTGTTTGCCAAGCATGATTGTATAAAATTCTTTGAAAATGTCTTCTGATCATGGGTATTAAAGTAGTGAACAATTTCTTCAACAGAACTGTGACTGGTTGAATTTAAAATGGGGCATAATTGTTTGAAAGTGTGACAGGATGAATTTAACATTGGTCAAAGATAATCCTGTTTTATATAGTATTTCAAGCTTTACATCTACACTGTACTTATAATTAATTTTGATTGGTTACAGTGGCAATGACATCCAGCTTCAGTCTGGTTGGAAATCCTCTGATGGTTTGTCAGACAGCGGCCATCATGGAAATACTTCATCCTATGTTAGGGCTGGTCAAATCAAGTGCAGTAGCCCCTTTAATGCAGGTATGACTCAAATGTAAGATGATTGTTTTGAAGATTATGCTGTGAAATGGAAAATTTTCACGAGGTTTTAATTTTCATTGTTTTCAAGGCGTGACGAGACTCGCAAATTCATGTCCACCATGAAATGTAAAATGTTACATACATAACTAAACAATTCTTCATTCATGAAATAAAATCCCCACAAACCAAGAGTTTTTCCTCAAACTGCAAAAATTTGTCCCCATGAAAATATGTTATTTAACAGTTTTTTTTCATTTTGAAGACTCTTTGAACATTTAATCATACTGAAAAGTCCATGTTTACCCATCCAGAAGTTTACTTCATGTAATTCATAAAATTTTTAGGGAAATATTTTGCTTCTGTAAGTTTTAAAGTCATATGTATTTGGCTATAAAATTAATGATTTTTTTTCCTCCAGTAAGGAGATTTGTGTTTAAATTGATGAATAGGAGTTTCTGACGAAAGGGAAAAAAACATTGAATTCTTATTTTATTGGGTAGTTTCAGTGATGAGTCATCTATGGATGGAAATTTAACAAATAATTTTTATATAGTAATATGATATTAATCATATGACTAATAATCTCAATTTATTTACAGGTCCTAGGGAGAAATTTTATACTATTTGTTATAATTCTTCATGAAGAGAACATACAAACTGCACCAATAGTGTTTTTCTTGCTCCTGACGTGGAGTTTGATAGAGGTTGTTAGGTAAGTATCCCACTTTCCTATTTTTGATGGTTCAGTTCAGAGCATGATAATGATGTTAGATCTCTAAAGGTTTATCTGAATCAGGTAAACTTGGTACCTTTGGCTCACAGATTATTGAGATATATACAGTAGTATTCAATCAACATTTAGGTCTTCTTTTTTTCAGGTCAGCTAAAGCAGTCCTTCATTTACAGTTTATTTGATTTGTGTTGGAATCTTTGATGTTTTTTTGTTGCTATATGGATGATGTTAATGAAAAGATAAAAATTTGTCCAATTGAAAGTGCAATTCTGTACATGGTTTATGAATAGGATATTGGAAAAATGCCTCTGAGAATTAAGATACATGTACATATTAAAAACATGGTGCTTTCTTTTTTTTTATATATTATTAATTTTGTCTCCTATCCATATGATCATAACTTAGCTGTGATATTCTATTTTTTCCCAGATATCCATTTTACATGTTAGCAGTTCTAAATCAAAAAGTTTACATTGTCACCTGGTTGAGGTATACAATGTGGATGCCACTTTATCCTCTTGGTATATTTCTAGAAGGTAATCTCTTACGAAGCTCCCAATATTAGTGTGATTTCTTATGCAAAAACAGAGGAAAGAATATTAAAAATTACAAATCAAATATTGGTCAGTTTTCCACTGCTCCAGGTCTCATACTTCCTTATCAATTCCTTCCTTATCAATTCCCTAAGTAAGTTATACTAATTATCTGAATTTTGAATTTTCACACAATAATACAAATAGGAATAAAATTCTAAAAAGATAACAGAACTCAGTTTTTAATAAATGACATTTTATTTGATTAAATTTATTGCCTGGCCATAACCATTGTGAACAACCCTTGTAGTTCATCATGTATAAAAAAAAAATTAAAAAAAACAAAAAAAATTAAAAAAGAACATGCCATGAGTTTCATGATTGCAAGATTTCAAAGCTATTTACACGAAAGGTTTTCTCTTACTAAGAATTCTTTTGAATAAATTACCCCCACACCCATTAATTTCAATGTGTACAATGATATAAATTCTTTAAAGTGTCATTACTTATTTGTATCCAAAAAAAGAAGCAGTATGCTGACATATCCTAGAAAAGTGATCTTTATTAAAGTAACACTACATTAATGCCTTTACAGGTGCTGTAGTGATTTTATCCATTCCATTATATGAACTATCAGAGAGGTTCTGTCTGTTTCTACCTAACAGTGTCAACATGGCATTTTATTTCCCATGGTTTCTGTATGCATATCCACCAGTTCTTCTATTAGGTAAGATTTTGGTTCTCTCCTATAAAACACTGTATAAATGCAGAATACCTTATTAAGTCTGTTTTCTACAGTTAACTGATTAAATGTGATTGATGATTGAAAGCCAAATATGATTTATAATTGTGGTTTGTAAAGGCTAGTCATGATAAATTATTAAACAGTTCTTCATCCATAAAATGAAATCCCCTCAAACCAGTATTTTTTCCTCATATCACAGAAATTCAACTGCAGGAAAATATGTGATTTTACAGAATTAATGCTTCCTGATTTAATGCTTCTATTTTTCAGCTGGATATTACATGCTCAAGTACATGCACAGCCAAAGAAAGAAAGTTTTAGGTGCCACATCAACTTCAAAATCCAAAAAGTCATCATGAATCAATGTCCCCTGAGCAGCAATCACCCTGTCTCATTTCTTAAGCTTTAATTATTTTTAATTCTGTTTGGTTCCATGAAGATTGGTTATAATTAATTAACATAAATAGGAATAATATGAGTATTTTTATTCCTCTTTTAATACTGATGAATTTTACAATATTTTTATTACCACACAGTATGTAAATCATGAGCTGTTTCATTTACTGAAGTACTGTATTACAAGTTTAGAGTAAATGTTGTGATGTTTACGTGCATTGTCTTATGAAATAAGCAATTGCTATGCTGGATACAAGTTTTTTTTTTTTTATTTGTAAATTAGTAAGAATGAAAAAAAAAAATGTGGTCATTACATGACATGTTTTAGTAGAGCTTGGTCTTGATTTTTTTTTCAAAGTTTTAAACCGAGATATCATTAAAAGTTTTATTAAAGCTATCTAGTTACAACTTTTATCATATATGCGTTTGAAGTGACATCTAGAGTACCATGGATGTGTTGAATTTAGTTGGAAGTTTCAACAACTTCATTATGTTACCTCCAGTATCTAGAATTCTTGTACATCTGGTTTCAACAAGTTTGAGATAACCAGATTTGAGTGTACCAGGTACTTGAAAAAAAGAAGAAGATCCAATTAATGAAATAAATGAGACTAATAACCCAATATGGGATGTAAAATTTACATAGAGGAAGAAACCTGCTAAAAAATGAAAGAAGGGCAGTAATAAATCAAGAGAGTGTTAAGGCTAAGCCCTTGAGTCTCTTTTTAACAATCTAACTGCCAATTGCAAACACTATGCAATAAATTTACTAAATAATAAGCTAAAGTAAGTAATGAGTCAGTGTATAATTTATATTTTGATTTTTGCATTCATATTTTGTACATCATGATTTGCATCACATACCATGAAAGAGGGACTCTAGGAAACATGTTTGGTAAATTATATTTCCTAAAATGTTTTGCTAGTAAACAGAGTAAATCTTGGGAAAAATTTAAATATGTATAAAATGAATTTATAGACAGATTACAAATATTGAGAATGCTACTAGCGTTGTCACATCAGGTGATTTCTCTTCTTTTTCATGACTCTTAAAATTCTTTGGGTGATTTTTGAAGTATGTACTGTGTAGATTATTACTTGAAGGCCATTGACTTTTAGAAGGAATAATAATAAAAAGAGAAAGAAATGTGTATATGCCAATGCATAAAGGGACGACCATTTGATTTTGATGGGGGGGGGGGGTGCTAGCAGATAATGTTGAAAATAAATAATCTGTCCTCGACTGGACAAGAAATAAATAATCCTTCCCTGAGCAGGGCTACTCCCCACTCCCATGACCCACGATTATTAGACTTTGAAATTTTGTTTTGCTTGTCAGATTTTTTCAGTGAAAAGGAAAAGAAATACTGTCTTTGATCTTGTTGGAAATAAAATAATCTGTCCTTCACCGACATGAGGAGTTGCGGATAAGAGGTGGTTATCCCAAAGCGTAAAAGACGGACTGAGGATAATCGCTTAGAACAAAAATAACACTCTATGCCATTTTTAAATAAAATGCTTTCTTTGGTTGTTGATATGCCTCAGTCGTTACAGAACAATCCGCATTTTATTGTTTATAACCAATATTAATCATATTAACTATTAAGTATTGTATAATATACATTTATTGATTGAGTTCGAGGGCAACATGTGATTTGTCGGACCCTCGAACCAAACTGTCTGCCTGAGGCCGTTAGCAGACAGTTTGGTTCGAGGGTCGACAAAACGCATTTTGCCCGAGAACATGGTCAATAAATGTTTTGTTATACCTTTCACTTTATTTATTTTTTTTTTTTACATGTATTTTGTGCTGTCTTCTAAATTGTAACATCAGGTCCGTCAATTTTGAATAACTACGATTGAAAATGAGATTAAGCTCCGTCCATTCTATGACGTAAGCGGTCCAACATCTCATCGACAGGTCCAACATCGATTTTTTATGCCCGCTCAGCAAAAAATGATAAATGTTAGACTTTTTTCGTATAAATTTGAATAGGAACAATTTTTCAAGGGTATAACAATTTTAAATGTACGCCAGTCTATGTTCAACCGATAGAAGAACCCATGAACATATATGTCCGCCACATTAATAACTGGAGACCGCCAGATATTTCCTTTTCTTAAAGACATCTACCGGCTTCCGTAGTTTGTAGATTCTGCAGTTTCAACAAGTCTATTAACTGTTTTTTTTTCTTTTTCATGCTTATCTGTTTTTTATTATTAACTTAAAAAATACAAATTAACATGTGTAATTGTGCATCACGATGAATATGAATGTTACAACACAAAAGAACACGAACATATGTACAATAATAAAAAAAATCTGCTCTTAATACCAGTTGATAATGATATGATTTTTAAGTTAACTACTGGTGAATAAGTCATTGAGGTATTTTATGAAATACTATGGAAGAAATACAATTATATCATATCACAAGATGAGGTTTTTCAACCTAAGTACGCAAAAGAAAAGTAGCTATTGCACAACTTTGACTTAGTAGTAATGAAACACGCACAAAATGGTCTTAAAGTTGAACAAGTGCGCTTCTATCACTACCATCATACTATCTGGGAAGATCGCTCAGGCGTACTACCAGAACTTTTAATCGAAAAGGATTCATCCAGAAAAAAATGGGACGAGCCGAATTCTCTTCCTTTTCGTAATAACACAGACCCGGTTTCTGTACCGTCATGTTTCAGTTCCGTAAGTATACTTTTGGCTCTGTACCCATTCATCACTGCTAATGCTGCTGTTATTAAAGCAATGAACCAGCTAGTCACCTGAAAAATAATTTTAAAAAGTTTAAGTCATTACTACATCTACAAAAATAAATAAATAATAAATATATATTATATATATTAATAAAAAATAAATAAATATAAAAGAGACCGCGACATTATTTGCAATATTATCATAAACTTAACGTATAACTTTGCAACTTCGTAGTGTGGAAAGATTGTTTTTTTGGTTTTTTTTTAAGTTTTGGCGATACCATACTACTCCACCATTGAGATATCAAACTTTTTTTGTCTCAGTCTAGTTTCGCCCCCCCCCCCCCTTTCCCCGATATACCATTATTTAAATGCTTATCACTTATTTTTTTCCCAGAAACTATGCTACCTGGTAACAATGTCTATTCCTTCTTTCAAGGGCACTTGTTTCGGTTATAGATTTTTAACCCATAGTTTACCTTGTCATTATAAATATGCTTAAAAAAATACCGAAACAAGTACCCATGTTTTTATAGTCACTTTCAATTTATGATATAAATGTATCAATGTTGAATAAATGTATGGTCCATTTTAATGAAAGAAATCAAACTAAAGTCATATTAATTGTTTTAAATAGACCATCAATCAAAAGTAAGGTAAAAGGAATTCTAGGGTTGTGTGGAGACGAACTTGCTAGTTCTCAGCTCAGAATTTTGTTCTTTAATAACGAAGTGATTTCTGAATTTTTTTTTTCATTTTGAATATAACACCTCTCACTTTTTTTTAAAAATTGAAAACAGTTGTGTTTATAAAATCTTCTACCGTAGTTCATGGGGGGGGGGGGGGGGAGGGGGTCCGAAGCATTTTTTTTAAATTCATTTATTTTCTATTACCCCCCAGTAATCATTAGTAATAATTATTTTGCTTGTCAAATAAGGAAGGGGCATGCATCATTATTATACTGTTTACAGAGAAAGAGAAAGCCCAAGAGAAGACGTTTGTGAAATAGTAAATACTTTCATACTTCTTTGAAGATTCATGTTTTAATCAGTTTACAGCAAAATATACACTGGCAAGCTTCTTTCTCTATAACAGTATCTCAGGAACCCAGACTGTAATCAGCGAAAAACAAATAATGAAAAGATATCGGTGATATTTCACCTTCCTGTTGACGAGAAACATTGTCTTAATTAAGAAGTCAGCTTCTGTATTATCACCCACGAGTAAAAAATAGCATATTACCGGTATGTCACACTTCCAGACTGCGAGGACATTGATTTTTACTTTAATTCAAAAGAAGTCTAGCAAAACAATCATACTTCACACTCTGCTGGGGAAAATCCTGTATCCTGTTTTCAATTTGTTAAAAAAATTCTTTTACATTTAACAATCCGGAAGACTAGCCCCTATAGAAGAAACTTAAGAAAACAACCTTATATGGGGATGGATAAAAACCTAGAAGACCTATAGTTCTATATAATAAATGTAGATCAAATCAAACCGTAGGTGCAGGAGAAGCATCACTGATACGTACCTCTGTAATTTTCATGTACCTATAGAAGTCTTCCTTCCCTTTTAGTGTTGTCCATTGCATGTCCTCCAATTCTGAACAGCTAAAATGAATTTAATGTTAACCTTTATTTTGCATTATCAAATTCACTGGCTGCTACACCTATTATGGCAACCACGTAGCGTGGGGTGGGAGTGGGGGGTTGCGGTTGTGTGTGTGTGTGGTTGTTGTTGTGCCTCAATTTAGTTATAAATGTGATAAATGTAGATTGATAGTCTGGTTGCCCCCCCCCCCCCCCAGCACTTTTCGTTGCAGTATACATGTACTAGTAGTCAAAGTAGGACAATGTTGATAAAAAAAATGGTACTGAGAGGAATATGCCACCCCCGCCCCCACCCCCCCCCCCCACCCCCAAAAAAATATGATTTTCGAGTGTTTTTTTTTTCAGGTAAGGTGAATATTTTTTTCCCTGGCTTGTGCCCCACTTTCAAAACCAATGATACGTCACTGGCACCCAATCAGCCACACCGTTTTAAGGGAAAATATACACTTCTTAGCATTCCAAGTGTTCCATTATGTATTAAACAGAAATAAAATGTATGAAGAACTTTATATACTAGCATTTTTCCTACCTGTCATATTATCATTGTTCATCTAACCGTAAAACCATTACATTCCAGATAGTATTTTATTTGAGTTGTGCATTACAAATTCTTTCTGACAAAATGCATCACCCACAACCCATCAATGTCATATTTGATTGCATCTTTGTAGAAATGTTTTAGATTAGGACCCTAGCTGACGCCCGACGACCAGACCTTGAAACAGATCTGTACCGTACATCATATAAGAGCAGAAAATGTAGCAACCATTGCAACTTGTATTGCACAATATCTTTACAAACTGATGACCACATATATGCATTGTGAATTTAGGGTCATTCTTA